GGAATTATCGATATTTGAAGTTGAGGCATCCCTCAGAGTCCTATTGAGTCAAAAAATGTCCTTTATTGAATTGTATTTCATTGAAACACGCAAGATACTTTGTACATTTGACGGTTTGTTTTTAGTTGAAATATTCAGCTAAGTTTCTCGTAAAAATTGGGTTAAACTGAACATCGGTTCACCCTCTATGCATCCTATCATTACTGAATAGACTGGTGGATCGATCGGCGTCATTGACAAAATAGATCAATTTCCTTCGATTAAAAAAATTAATTACCCGAAATTTAAGAGAAGCGACCCCATCGGCTCAACCCATTGTGTTTAACCTATTGACTTAATCGTTTTCTATTCTTCAAACTTCCTACCGCACAGGACGGTGCATTGAAAACGATTTTCAGCGATTATTTTAACAAAAAAGTGCTTTTCACACTTTGGGGATGTTTAGATTCCCATTATGTCCGTGCGAGAGCGGACGCTTCGGTTGGAAATTTGCAATGATTTGCAGATATTCTGACGTGCGCTGGAGGATTGATTTCTTCATTGTAAAAAGTTCAATCAGGAAAAAGTCAACAAGGCCATAATTCGACAGTTTCAGCTCGTTTTTGTCTGTTTTTTTACGAAATTTTGATAAAAGAGTGCGGAAAGAAAACTTTACTAAAGTCGAAACACTCTTTGATTTTTTTGAGAACCTTTCGAACTTATTTGTGAGTGTTTAGTTCACATACAAGCCTTTATTAAAACAGTCCCTCACTTGGAACGAAGAAAAGCAGGCACGTACAACTTCTTCAGGGAAAAGCTGAATAGTTGTACTTCAACGGCACCAAACTTCACTTATAATCCAAGTACTGCTTGGGCGCTGCAAAGGTGCTGTTAATTTCCATTCACCTGTGAACCTCCACTGTGAACGAGAACAAGTATCCGCTTATACGTTTTACGCAAGAAAGCTGCTAAAATTGGGCTTGATATGGACAGCATTTAATACGAATCGAGAGAATTTCAAGTTTTTGAGAACCTTCCGAACATGAGCCTGCAAATCCGCCGTTAATTTCCCTCCATCCCTCCATTCAAATAACTCTCCACTCTGAACAAGAACAAGTCCCAACTTGCAACTTTAACCGGGCAGAGCTGGATAATTGGGCTTCACCTGAACAACATTTCCCTTAAAGCGAAACACTTGCTGATTGGTTAAAAACTGTCTAATTTGAGACTGCAAACCTTGAGTTAACTCGACCTACAAACCTCGATTCAAATAAAACTCACCTCTGAACGGGATGAAGGAGCCGCTTAAAATTTTTACATAGCAAATCTTCACAATTGAGCCTCAAAAGCAAGCATTTGCTAATTTTTGAGAATTTCCGGAATGTGATCCTGCAAACGAGCCATAGAACCAAAAAAATCCTTAATTTTTCAATCAGCTGGGTTTACTTCTGTTCTATGTTTTATTGGCTTTATCAGACACAATGGCAGTAAAAAGTAAATAAGCAATTTCGTTAAGTCAGTGGTTTCTTGCTTCTTGAATTGTAAATGAAGAAATTTTGCAAGCTCATCGTGAAGAACTTGAAACACTGCAACAAAACGCAGAAAATTGCCGGAAAATGGTTGAAAACACCAAAATGCTACAAAACCTGGGTGTAAGCTCTATGGTTGATTCCATGGACTCGGGTGATGGAATTCCATTTGAGAGGCATCGAAATGTTCGCTAGGAGAATGTGGAAGATTTTCTTATTTGATTGGGTCCATTCGTACCACTTGAAGTCCTTTAGAAGCATCTCCAGCTCTTCCGTCTGCAGCAAGCATGCGAAAAACACCAATAGAACGAAGAAAGTGAATAAAACTTGCCATGTCCTCGGTTGATTGTCCCTGAGCGCACACCACTGCATAAGCCACTAAAATCACCGTTATTATCCATGTTGATGTAGCGCGGGAGAACTCATGCTGTAAAGTTTGCTTGAATGGTTGATTGGAGCCAGAAAATGTTTAATGGTTTTACCGTGTATGCAAAGAGAGCAATTAGAGGACTTCCAAGGATCATTCCATTGGAGAAGAACGTTATCAATATCGGGTACATTGTTCCATACAAAAATGTGTCAAACCTACAAGTTTTTGATCAGCCAAAAATTGCATAGACGCCCAATTTTTACCTCAGAACAGCTTGATGTTTCTGGGCGATTTTTTTGAGGCACATTTTCACAAAATCTGGGTCCAGATTCATTTTTTTCAGCCTATCCGACAGCGCCCGTATTTCACCATTTAAACCTATCAGTTGAACTTGCAGGAAAATGTAGCAATACTGAGTGAAAATAGCCGAGTTGATTAAAACGAAAGTCAAAACTATGTAAAGGCCTTTGCTACACCATAGTAAGTACGAGTAAAGTAATGTGTGGTCACCTAGAAAGCCGTTTTGAACAATCGGGGTTGTCTGAATGTGACCGAAAGTCTGGACTCACTTGCATAGAGTGCAGCAACAATATATTTTTCATAAACAGGCTCGAAGTCTTGACGAAATAGTTGAAAAATTGCGATTCCAGAAATTGTGATATACGTACTGAAGTATTCAGCTTTTTTGCATTTTTCTTTGATCATTTCTCTGCTTCTAGGGCTTAATACGCTGGTGTCCCAAGGTAACATTGAGTTTATATAAACGCCCATTTTTTGGTAACTACTGAACGAGAGTAAAGTGCCCAGATGTTGGATGATTATCTGAAAACAATTCGCTGTTGTTGATGAATTTAAGTGCTAAGGAAACGCTTACGAATGACAACGGAAGGCATATTGGGCCATAAAGACTCCAGTTTTGTCGACTAAAGTGTGTGAAGCAATAAATCAACTGTATTAAACCAATTAGGATCATTGCTATCAAGTACAAAGTGGAGATGAATCTGATTACTGTAATGTTGCACAGGCGAAGCATCATTGATGAAATCGGGAAAAGCTGATCTGAAAGCAGTTGGAGATTGACTCAATTTATAATGTTGTTTAGTCTAGTTACCCAAAACAAAATTACCAAAATATTTTGGTATTTTGTGTGCAAACCCTCACTTACTCTCGATTTGAATGCCCTTCTTTTTGGCCATTGCTGAGTCGTATGTTGAGGTGAATTGGAAACAGTAAGTGCAGAAAATATTCTGTTCCTTTGCCGCTCTGTAATAGATATTTAATACGTTGTGTAGTTAAGCGCTAATGTCTTTTTGATATCGGGAATATTTTAAAATCATCTATTCAAAGTGGGTGAAAAACCATTCAGGCACAGGATTGATTTCATTTTAAAGATCTCACTGTTACTGTATAGGTTTTTGCGCAAAATACAACTATTCCCTGAAAAGGTTTTTTGAAAGTGAGCAGATAGTTGTATTTATTTAAAACGATTTTTAATTTACCGAAAGCGAGGGAAAATAAAATCTATTGTTAGAATCGAGTCGAAAATTGAATTTTATGAATCCGCGGTAAAACGTGGATTTTTGCAAACTAATCAGTCTCTTAAAATACCTCGAATTCTAGATAATTTTCATCAGAAAGGAGCGAGGAATGATCCAAAAATTCTGAAAACGCCATCCGCATTTTCCATCTAAATTACCTTAGTTCTAGCAATGAAGCAACAAACTGATTCATAATTGAAATTTTTATTTTCCTCTGATGCTCAAAAGGGTTCCTCAATAAGGATTACATGCTAATCCAGCTGTTGTGAGCAAATTAGTTAAAATAGCAGCAATTTGGCTTGGTCTGGCAAATATACGGAAGCTCGGCGTTGCACACGTAATTATTCCATCTCCAAGTACCGTTCGCTAGCCGAAACAATTCGACGCATTTTTCAGTATTTGGGTTGTCTGGCTGACCAGGAGGAAAATTTTTGTAGCTCAGGGCCGAACCGGTAGTGAACCAAGCAAATGCAGATCCCAAAGATGATCCAGCTGTCCAGAATCCATGTCCAACTGAAACAGTTTATGAGAAAGGTGCACCTTGCTAGATTTTCTATCGTTTACTTCCATTGGTGTTATTTCCCAGGGCCAATTCAATCGCATTTTCCTCAGTTTGAGAGTAAATGCTTACGAGTTCTAAGCCACGCCGTTCGCAGGCCTCAAATGCTTCAAACCAGTTTAGATGTTGCAATATGACTGTGTAACTCAGTGTGTTTGGGCAACAGCAACTTCCAACTATTGTCGAAAATTGAGAGTATTGGCAAATCGAAAAAACTTCTATTTTTATCGATACTACATTTTCTAGATTGACTTACTATCAACAGCAGCTGTTGTCACTGAAAAAGCTGCGGCACACAATACTAGAAAACCCAACATGTTCACGAGTTTCCTGAACTGCAATGGGCGCCTGTTTCTAAATACTCAGGGTTTTATATGAAAACTGAGGACGCCGAAAATTTGCATCTCTATTAATAGTGAGGGTGCAATTCGTTGAATGTTTGTGAAATGCTTTAAGTGGTTCAATTAGTATGCGGCGATTTAAAACGCGAGCAAGGTAAAGGAAATTTAAATGATGTTGACGTTGAACTGCAAAAACAACAATTAAAAGCGTATTGTTTTTTAGACGAGTCGGATTAATTGAAGTTCATTAATTGTGTAACCAAGATTGATTCTACTTGATCGTGAAACACCTTGTATCAACATTCATGTCTGCATCGCTGTCTGAGAACGTTAAGAGAGAAAAGAGCCTCGCATAGGAATCAATCTAAAACCTTTAAATTCAATAATACATTTCCAATACATTTTGTAGTTAAGCGCTAATCCCTTTCTGATACTGACGAGAATATTTTGAACTAATTATTGATTGAAGCGGTCGAAATTTTATTAACCTGCTTCATCTAAAACACTTGGTGCTTTGCATCCTTGTCTTTGCAATTCTTCGCAAAGTGCGCGCTATTTAAATCGCTGCATACTGATTTAAACACTTTTTCCAGTAAAAATTTCACAAATATTCCACGAATTGCACCCGCACTATTTATGGAGATGCAAATTTTTGGCGTTCTCACTTCTCATATAAAACCCTGAGTATTTAAAAACAGGATTGCAGTTTAAAAAAACTCGTGAATATGTTGGGATTTCTCGTATTTTGTGCCGCAGCTTTTACAGTGACACCAGCTGTTGCTGAGAGTAAGTCAATCCAGAAAATGTAGTATGAAAAAAGTAGAACAATTTTTCTTTATTACTACGATAGTTGGAAGTTGCTGTTGCCCAAACTCACTGAAATACACCGTCATATCAGAACATCTAACGTGGTTTCAAGCATTTGAGGCCTGCGAACGACGTGGATTAGAACTCGCAAGCATTCACTCTCAAAGTGAGGAAGATGCGATTGAACTGGTGCTGGGAAATAGCAACAATAGAGGTTTTTCTTACAAAATCAAGCAAAATGCAACCTTTCCCTATGAATTGTTTTAGTTGGAAATGGATTCTGGGTATCTGCAACATCCTTAGGATCTTCATTTGTATGGTTCACTAGCGGTTCGGAGCTGATCTACAAAAATTTCGCTGGTGGTCAACCAGACAACCCAAAAACTGAAAAATGTCTCGAATTGTTTAGGCTAACGAACGGTACCTGGAAATGGAATTCTTTCCGCTGCGGTGTCGAGCTTTCGTATATTTGCCAGACCAAGCCAAATTGCTGCTATTTTAACTAATTTGCTCAGATCAGTTGTATTATTATGTAGTCCTGATTAGGGAATACTTTTAAGCATCGGAGTAAAATAAAAATTTTAAGTATCAATCAGTTGTTTGCTTCTTTATTAGTATTAGATCAATTTAAATGGAAAATGCGGTAGGAATTTTCAGAATTTTGTTGCATTCATCGTTGCCTTCTGATGAAAATTATGCAGAATGCGTGGTAGGTATTTTAAGAGACTTTGACTACTTTGCAAAAATCGACTTTTTGTGCTACACAGTCTAATTGAAACAAATAATTACTATTTTGAACTAGATTAAGCAGCCACTTACAAATTCTGCAGACCAGAGTTGTTCATTCTTCTTCAGGCGGTATCATTTAATCCAAATTTTCCTTAAATCCCAAAAATATCCGATTTTTAAGAACTTTGGTATTGCAAATCCGCGGCAAATTCCACTTAAGTATAAAGTTCCTTTGAAATTATCATCCACTTTAAGTTAAAAATGCCGGCTGCTTGCGACTTCAACGAAGCCAAGCTGTGTAATTGAGCTTCACAGAGACCAAACTTCAAAGGCTTGCTAATTTGTGAGAAGCTCCTGAACTGGAGCCTGCAAACCTATCGGTAATTGCTAAAACCAATTCGTCAATAAAAATGCCGATTATTTCGGATCTGAAGATTTTTAACACATTTTTAAGGAGCTGGTTACATTCTTCTCTTCGTTCTGATGAAAACGGTGTAAAATTCGAGGCTATTTGAGAGACTAGGATTCATTGACAAAAATCGACTTCTTGCTCTTTGAAATTTTCGATCACAAATACAAATTTTACAAATGTATTTTTTGCTCTTGTCGCATCGCCTCTATCGTCCCAGTATACATATAGAAAGGATTTGGGGTTATAATGAGGCATAAATCGACGGTTAAAAATCGTGATCGATCAAAAATCACTCAGAATGAACATAAAATGTCAAATATTTCGGATCTGAGGATTCTTGCGTTTTTTTTTTTGGAGCAAATTGATGTAAAATTCGGGGCGTTATTTTACTTGGATTTTCTGGCAAAAATCATCCTCCTACCTTTATGAAATTTTCGATTAAAAATCAAAATTTTACATTCAAGTTTTTTGCGTTTGTTGGATTGTTTCTGTCTTTAGAAACTCTCCGATCTACTTATAAAATTGTTTGAGGCCTAAACTAAAGAAAAAATCGGCGGTTGAAAATCATGATCCACAAAAATCACTCAGAACGGACATAAAATGTCGAATATTTCGGATCTGAAGATTCAAGCCAATTTTTTTAGGAGCTGGATGCATTTTCCACTTTTTTCTCATGAAATTGATGTAAAATTCGAGGCGTTTTGAGAGACTTGGATTTTTTACCAAAAATCTCCTCTTACCCTTATGAAAATTTGGTTTAAAAATTAAAATTTTACAATCGAGTTTTTTGCGCTCGTTGGATTGTTTCCGTCTTTAGAAGCTCTGCAATCTACATATGAAATTGTTTCGAGTCACTCAGAATGGACATAAAATGTCGAATATTTCGGATCTGAAGATTCAAGCCATTTTTTTTAGGAGCTGGATGCATTTTCCATTTTTTCCTCATGAAATGATGTAAAATTCGAGGCGTTTTGAGAGACTTGAATTTTTTAGCAAAAATCATTCTCTTACCCTTATGAAAATTTCAATTACATACAGATTTTCGATACATACAGAAATCGATTCTGAGTCAATCAAAACGACTCAGAATATCGAATATTTCGGTTCTAAAAGTTCTTGCGCATTTTTAAGGAGCTGTTTGCATTTCTCGCTTCCTTCTGATGCGAGAAATCATGTAAAATTCGCTGCATTTTGAAAGACTTGGGTTTTTTTTGGCAGAAATAGACCTCTTTAAGGGTGTACCTTATAAAAACCAAAATTTCACCAGAGTTAAAACTCTGCTTTCGAAAAAGAGATTTTTAAAAATTTTATTTCAGCAACTTTGGTTTAGCAACAACTGACTCCTATATCTTAGCTTACATATTTATATGACATAATTTGCAGCATCGGCATGCAGGTGTGCGTGGTGCCGCGTGCAATGAAATGCGCTTAGTAGTAGTTATTCGAGAATATTACTCCAGCGTGTTTTTTGTTCTGATTGGATTGTTTACAATTCTCATGTGAAGATTCTAGCGTATTTGTTCAGAAGCTGGTTACATTCCTCGCTTCCTTCTGATCCAAAAATGATGTCCTCTGACGATTGAAAACAGAAATGCTTCAAATCCGGATCATAATTTTCCACTACTGCTTCAAACCCAGGGCAGGCCATCTTCAATCATCATACCTCTAATTACGGTTGTCATCGGCAATAATCCAAAACAAACTCAACTTCTTTCTTCCAAAGCCGACTTTGGGTTGGCGGCCCGCAGTTTCATTGTTTCCGGGCGGAAGCAAATGACAGTCGGAACCAAACGACAATCACTGACCACTGGCCGACTTTGATTCAACAAAGCTGAAGGCGCCATGCGATTATGTCGTCGGCAATATTTTATGAATGGAAATTGTGTTATTAGGGCGTAGTTGTTTAGGGCTAATTATTTAATTGTGACCACCATTCGGGCGGTCTTTTTGTTGCTTCGTGATGCTTGTCCTTTAAGGGGTGCTCGATCAGTCGAAAATTTTCGAAAAAATTGCTTGTTGGTGGTTTTTTGATCAGATCTAGTGCAAGGAAGTGCAAATGAATGCATATGATCGAATGTGTTAAGTTGAACTTGTTTTGTGCAATAATGTGTGCTTTCCTAGACTCTTAGTAAAACTTCTCAGAAAAGTGGCCAGTTTTGTTTCATTTGCACTCGGAACTGTGCAGTGATAACCACAATACCCAAAAAATTGTCACTTAGTGGGAGTGGAAAATAAATTAATAAAATAATAGAAAACAGAAGTGGAATATTAATCCAAAAACCTGACAGACTAACAAATCAGTGATGCTTGTCCGCATACCAGCGAAATAAATTCTGCAAAATAATTAACTGCCAAACTAAGCGATAAACGCAAGGTTGAAGCAATGGGAATAACAGACATTTTCTTGATTAGGGAAAAACGGGAAATTCCGCAAATGGTTTTGCTGCTTTTAATGGGCTCAACGCGTTTCGGGCAATGTTTCCATTAAAAAAAAACATGGATAAGCGATATTCATAGCACTACTTAGCATAGTGGTGATTGATGTCCGGAACGTAAACAAGATATAATTTTTAAGGCAAATGCAAATGCATCGCAAGGCTTACGATCTGCATAGATATCCAAATGCTTCCTGTGTATATCTACTTTCTGCAATTTTTCACATTTTTTCTTCTTTTAAAGCCAACAATTTGCGACATCAAAGAGTACGTGTGATGAGAAGATGGTGAAGACGAAATTTTAAGGGGTTTTGATAAAAAAAAATCAAAACAATATCTGTAAATTGAGGAAATAAGAGCCAAGTCTTGGCAGGCTTGGATTCCAATAAGGAAAAAATGTTTTTTTCCTAGTTAACAAATATTTTTCCTAACTTTGACCAACTGAACTCCTGCATTCTACATACAGAGTGTCCTATTTGATCGTGTGTTCTGATTTGATGCCGCCCTCAAAAATCCTGAACCCTCTCATGTTATTATTCACCCTGCATGGAAGCAACGGATCATCGATAGACACTTAACAGCCGTTATCTTCCATTTAACCGCTGACAACTTAATTAGCAAAATAATGAACGGTCTATGAAAAAACTATCTGCATTTTTTAGCGAACAGTTTTCCTTCCCTTTAATTACAGCCCTAATTTTCCCTAAAATGTGATAGAGTACCTTTCCAAGGGGGTGGACAACTAGAAACACCCAATTTCTGCAAAGGGGTTGCTCTTTCGACTGTCGAACTGAGAGAAAAATTCAAGTGTTTTATAGTTGAGCAAAAATAATGTTGAATCATTTACTAGGGGGTTTTAATAGGCGGGATTTCAACCCATATTAAGGCAAGGGTAGTAATTAAGAGGATCAATCAGACGTTGAGGTGGACAAGAGGAAATGCTGTTGCGGTTTTAATTAGTTTTAATTGAAATTGAGGAAATTTCAATGGAATTTCACATTTTCGAATCAATTTTTTAAGTTGATTTTTTTAAATGTGGATTGAGGAGTTAAAACTGGCAAAAATTACACCAAAGCTCAATGCAGAGTGATTTCTTTGTTGGCGCCTTTATATTAGCCCTCAACATTCAATTTTCAGTATAAATAGCAAACACTTTTTCCGTCATTTTGAGTTCAAATGGTTCTATTCAACAAAGTTGCGAGTTTGCGACCAAATGGTAGCGCCGAAACAGCTTCATTATACCGAAAAAGGAAGTGAGTGGTTGCAAAAAAAATTATTACCGTCTTAGCTGACTTTTTAAAGACTTAAAGGATTAAATTATAGGCCAACGAAATTTATGGGAAATTGGAGACCCATATTGCACGTCGACTGACCAAATAACCGTTCTTGGGCGTGCGAAAGAGTTCGCTTCTTTTGCTTTTATGGTGCTAAAATTGATGCCTGAGATTGGGGCTTATCGCGATGTTTGTACTATAATTTGCATAGAAAGCCATTAGTGGTTGATTGTTTACTCAAAATGGGGCAAAGTGGAAAATTTACATTGAAAACTCATCAATCAACAAGCAAGAATACAACGGGAATTTTTGTTTGAAACATTCGGGAAATGATCGATTTTTTGAAATTCCAGTTCTTATAAATGTGGATGTTCTGCAGCCCAGATACCAGATATGATTATTATGGCATTGTTTTTTCAATTTTTGCATACTATTTTGGACTGGAAAAGTTGCTGGATTTTAGTTTAAAGAAACATTTCTATTCCTAATTTCGCTTCTCTGTATATTGTCTCCCAAAATTCTTAAAAACATTTTTTAGATACTTTTCCTCATCAATTTTGACGCTAAACAATGTCTGAATTAAACACATTAACTTGGTCCACCGGAATCGTTGAGGATGGTTGGTTTTCGAAACGTTTTACTTTCATTTTATTCCCATTGATTATTTGGCTTTTCTAAGAGATATCTAGTGGAAAAATGCAAAAAAATTGAAAAACTTGAAGATTTCTGATAACGATTTAGC